TCCTGCCTACCCTGTGCCTCTGTCCCTGAACCCCTGACAGCAGTCAATAGCGCTGTGGAGCAGAATAGCGTAGCCGGCACCCGTGGGGGCTGCTGGGGTCATTTGCTGCACAGCGGTCTCTCTTCACGCCTGCAGAAGTCTTTTGAAAAGGAGTTTGAGAAAGGGGAGGGGAAATTGGCCTTCTGCTCACCTCCTGCGAGGAGAGCACACACACGCACAGGGCCTTATTGGCACGGCCATTCAGACTGTGGTGCCTCCACACACACACACACACACACAGAGAGAGAGAGAGAGAGAGAGAGAGAGAGAGAGAGGCTTGCATTCATTGAGCATTGCCCCAAACCGCTTGGTGTTGCCTTTGCAACGCTGAGGAATGAAGCCCAAACCCATCAAGAGGCTTAAGAGAATGTTGCCTTTCATGGAAGCCACCTTAGAAATGGCTGAGTGTTGCTCTATGCTGGACAATCCTCCTTACCTCATGCTCTCTTCCCATCTTTCACTGCTCTGCTGCTCTAGCTGCAGACCCATAAATAGAGGTGGATTGAGGACAGCATGACCGGTTGTCCTGCACAGGGCGCCGAGCAGAGAGGGTCCCTTCCTGTCTTCTTCCCAAAGCCTAGTAAGGTGGCATGAGGGCTCTGACAGGGCCCTAGAGTCCTCCTTCCTCCTTCCCAAAGCCTAGTGTTTGCCCAGGGTTTGGAAGGAGACAAGAGGGCTCTAGGACAGACATAGACAAACTTGGCCCTCCAGATGTTTTGGGACTACAACTCCCATCATCCCTAGCTAACAGGCCCAGTGATCAATGATGAAGAGTCTCACCCTGTACAGAAAAGCAAGTGATGGTCATGCTTTGTTCTGAGCAAAGCCATATTTAAGTTCTGTAAATTGGACATGGGTATTGTTGAACTTCAGCTGGAACATCAGATAAGGCAAGAAGAGGCGAGGGACTTTCAAGGTCCACACAAGGGCCATTGGAAGTCCAGTAGAAGACCAATGTAGGTTTCATGAAGCTCTGCCTGCCTGTTTTAGTAGAGTCACAGAATTATATTTGGAAGGAACCCCAAGAAGCAATTCTTGCCTTTCATACTCTCTTGCCTTAAATACTTGTCTCCACAACCATAACTCATACACTCTCCATGTGCTGTCTTTGTGGAGTCCTCAGAAACCTTAATTGGTCTAAAGAACGCTATATCCAGACTTCTATTTGGACGTGTTGCATGGAACACACCAGTCCAATTTTCTACCCAACGCGGCATCCTCCTGAAGCTAGTGGACTACAACTCCCATCATTCCCAGCCTCTCCTGCCTTCTCCTTACAGCTGAAGATATTTGTGCAACAGTGAGCGACAGGAAGGGGGCAGGTCGAAGAGGAACCTCCGCAAACCTGGCAGAGGCTTGGCATACCCTCTCTTGGATGTGCCAAGGTCTTCCTCTTAGACCAGCCTTTCTCAAGCTGTGGGTTCCCAGATGTTGTTGGAACTACAACTCCCATCACCCCTAGCTAGCAAGGCCAGAGCTAGCTAGCAAGGCCGAGACCATATAACACCGGTCTTGAAAGACCTACATTGGCTCCCAGTACGTTTCCGAGCACAATTCAAAGTGTTGGTGCTGACCTTTAAAGCCCTCAACGGCCTCGGCCCAGTATACCTGAAAGAGCATCTCCACCCCCATCGTTCTGCCCGGACGCTGAGGTCCAGCGCCGAGGGCCTTCTGGCGGTTCCCTCATTGCTAGAAGCAAAGCTACAGGGAACCAGGCAGAGGGCCTTCTCGGCAGTGGTGCCTGCCCTGTGGAACGCCCTCCCACCAGATGGGCGGGGTATAAATAATAAATTATTATTATTATTATTATAGTCCAACAACATCTGGGGACCCACAGGTTGAGAACCTCTGTCCTTAGACCAACATGCTGAACAACCGGCCTCAAACATTGGCCAAGGTCTATGAGCAGTGCTTGGAATGTGAAGGGTCATTAGGTCACTGAATCTACCGGACTGTCCAGTAACCACAGCTGTGGCTCAGATCCTGATCTTGCCAACGAAGCTGAGGAGCTGTCCAGTAGGTCAGGAGCCAGGGTTTTCAAGGCAGCAGGGGAGCTGTCCAGCTAAGGATGAGCAGGGTGAGGTCTTGCATCAGCAACAGCTAGGTACCACCTGGCAACCAGCTAAGCATTCACTTTGGTGATTAGAGAGTCAGACTGGGACCTGCAAGACCAGGGTTCGAATCCCCACTTGCCCATGAAGCTCACTGGGCAAACTTTTTTTTTTATAAAAGAAATATTTTCCAATTTTCAGTCATCCATTAGGATGAATTATCAATCATCCATTAGGATGAATAAAACAAACATTGAATAAAACCAAGTTATATTGACTTCCCGTTTGTGGTTTCTCTTGCATTCATTTTCAAAACTGTATCTCCCGCACAATTTCTTTCCATTAGTTACTCTCTAATTCTTCTATAAGTTATCTCTTTAACTGCTTGATTTTAAGTGCATCCTGCTAATATGGTTAAATGTTTACATTATTTTTTTAATACACTCCACATATTTCCCTCACTCTTTATTAAAAGTTCTGTCTTCTTGATTTCTTATTCTTCCTGTACTTTTTGCCATTTCTGCATAATCCATTCGTTTTACCTGCTAAGTTTTCTTTCCATGCCTGTACAAAAAGCAGTCTGACAGCCGTGGTTGCATACATAAAACAACCCCCCCTCAGTCTTTAGGTATCTCCTGTCCTATTATCCCTAAAAGAAAGGATTCTGGGATGGTTTTTCTTTTTGTTTTGGTAAAAGTTACCTTCAACATTTTTTCCAATTCATTATACATCATCTCCCACAAGTCTTTTGCTATCTTACAAGACCACCTCGCTGGGCAATCTTGAGCCACTCAGTGCCTCCCAGCCTAACCTGTGGGATGTGATCCATGAGAGGCAGTCAAGTACAAAGTTCCTTGAAATGCTAGAGAAGACATGCGAGGGAATGTTTGGTCCAGCCAGTTGAAACTTCCTGTTCCTCCTGGCTGGAGCATCCTTCCTTTTCATGTGATAGAAGGTGGGCGTGACCTAACCTATCCAGGTAACAAAAGGACAGCACCCTCCCTTTCTTTTTGACTTCCTTCTTCATTTGACCAGCTTTTAGCTAGGACTGCTCTGCCAGCTCTCAGCTAGCAGAAGCACTGGGATTATTCCCACATATGGGGTAGATCTACATGTACATATTTGTAACCAAGTCTGCTTTCAGGAATCCAACTGTGAACTGATGTGAGTATAATTCTTTTTATAAACTTTACACCAGATTGAGGTGTCTTTATTCTTTTAAGAGGGATTCAAGGGAATTTACCAGGAACATAAAATTCAATCTGAAGACAGACTGAATTGTATAATAGTGAGAGGCTCACACGAGCCTGCAACCAGCTATATGCTGTGCATGTAAGAAAGGGGGACGTAACTCTGCTAAGTAAATGAACTTGCTAGTGCAAGTTAGGAAGGATATTAAAAAAAAAAAATATTCTCTCCTGCCACCCTGAACATTCCCACATAACCTATGTTTCAGGGTTGTTGTGGGGATTGAATAAGGAGGGGCATGGGAGGTCTCCTTCATTAGAGGTCAGATGGCTATTTGTCGGGGATTCTCGGGCTGGTATTCCTGCATTGCAAGAGGTTGGACTAGATGACCATTGGGTCAACTCTGCAATTCTATGACTCTCCATTCTACCTTCCCAGTTTGCGCTCACACATACTGGAGGGAAATGGCTATCCTGGGAGCAGGATGCAGACCTCATCCAAATGGACGGCCACCACCTCAAATGTCATCTCAGGAACCCGTTTTCTGATCCTCAGCCCGATCGACTGGGCTGAGGACAGGCTATGGAGAATTCCGCAGGCTCGTCGCAGTCCATGCCAAGCTCTGAAAACAATTCAGCCTTGCGAATGCTGAAGCGAGACCCAGGCAACACGAGGAAGAATGTCGATGCAGAACGGCCGCCCTCCTCCCCCTCCAGCCATGGAAACAGCCAACTTCCATCCAGATCGAATTAATTGCAGAGCCCAACTTTGGTCTTCCACCTCCTGGACCTATCCGTAAGTTCTTCCTTTGGTAGCCGCCGAAAGTCAGATCCTTTTGCTGATGTGATACGACTGATCCCTCTCTAATGAGGAAGTGGGGTAGCTGAGATGAAAGGCCAGACCCCCGCTGGGTAAAGATACGAACTAATAAACCGAGCTCAAGGAATATGGAGAGCCTCATATTTTTCTTTTCTTTTCCCAGAGAGGATTTGGGCTTTGGGTGTTTTTGATCAAGCTCCTTGCCAGGAACTTGTTATTAAAGGTTTCAGGAAATAAAGCAGTACCTCCAGCCTGTCGCCTCCCGGCTCCGAGAATTACCCCCTACCACTCCACTTGCCTGCTAGTTTAGTTCATTCATAATTGTATTAACAATTTTGGCCAGGGTAAAACAACCAGCGTGGCAGTGGAGAAAAGAAAAGTGGGCTACGAAAAGACGGACGGTATGCCAGACATTATTAGAGTCTAAGGCAGTGATGGCCAAACTTGGCCCTCCAAACACATTTTTTAAAAAGTTATTAGTCCTCATGGTGGCTTAGTGTGTGTGTGTGTTTTTGGGACTACAATTCCCATCATCCCTGACCACTGGTGCTGTTAGCTAGGGATGATGGGAGTTGTAGTCCCAAAACAGCTGGAGGGCCATGTTTGGCCAACACTGGTCTAAGGGATTCAAGGGGTTACTTAACCCACTCACACATGAAAACAAAGATCACCACAGCCAATCACAAACAAACAGCCACACCCTAGGCCAACCTATCTCACCACCAGAGGAACACAAGTGAATAGCAGAGAACCTGCACATGCAATGCTGACACAAAACCCCACATATATTAAGTAAAATAGAAACATCGCCACCCGACCCCACCCCCACTCACCTTTCCCCCCTCCACCTCTTTCCCCCTTTTCTTCCTAATGCCTCAACAAATGAAACTGATATGTAAAAAATGGTACCTGAAAAAAAAGAGACATTGCACATACTTTTGTAAACCAAGAAAATCTTTAATAAAAATACATTTAAAAAAGCTTACTAGTCCTCATGGTGGCTTAGAATGTGTGTGTGTGTGTGTGTGTGTGTGTGTGTATTCTGTGTGTATTTGCAGGGAAACCAAAATGCTTTTTTACAAATCTATTGTACTACCAACCTTACTATATGCTTGTGAAACATGGACCACTTATAAACGTCATCTCCAACTCCTCGAAAGATTCCATCAACAGTGTCTCCGAAAAATTTTACACATCACTTTGGAAGACAGGCAAACTAATATCAGTGTACTGGAAGACACAAAGATCACCAGTGTTGAAGCAATGATTCTTCAACATCAGCTTCGTTGGACTGGTCATGTTGTACGGATGCCTGATCATCGTCTTCCAAAGCAACTGCTCTATTCCAAACTTAAAAATGGAAAGCGTAATGCTGGTGGTCAACAAAAGAGGTTTAAAGACTGTCTCAAGGCAAATCTAAAAAAATGTAGTATAAACACTGACAACTGGGAAACACTGACCTTCGAGTGCTCCAGTTGGAGAACAGCCTTTACCAAAGGTGTCATGGGCTTTGAAGATACTCAAACTCAGGACGCAAGGGAGAAATGTGCTAGGAGGAAGGAACAGTTTGGCAAACCCTCACCATGATCAACTCCTGCCTGGAAACCATTGTCCCCACTGTGGAAGGACATGTGGATCCAGAATTGGCCTCCACAGTCACTTACGGGCTCATTGTTAAAACCGTGTTTATGGAAGACAATCTTACTCGGTTACGAGGGATCACCAAAGAAGAAGAAGTATTCTGTGCACTCCTGTCTTTACATCATCTACATTTGTTTGGTCATGTCCAAAGAATAGAAGATGTCAGGATTCCCAAAGATGTGTTGCACAGGGAACTGGCTTCAGGCACCAGAAGACCAACTCAAGTGTTACAAAGGTGTCTGCAAATGCTACATGAAGGCTGGCAACATCAGCCTCACCCTGTGGGAATCCCTTGCAGACGACCGCAGTGCCTGGAGACAGGCAGACAGGTCATGCATCCAGAGCAGTGACCAGAAGAGGAATGACCACAGGGAGGAGCATTGAGAGAAGAAACGCCATGGTGCATCTGCAGCAGAACAACTGGACGCCTTCATCTGCTCAAGCTGCAACGAAACATGTCTCTCTCTTGCATTGGTCTCTACAACCACAGCAGGCACTGTGCAACCTGCCAACAGTTTGGCTTACTGGCAGACCACCTAATGATTTTTCTGCCTGTTGTTTAATGGAAATATGCTGGGCTAGATGCAAAAGTCACCACCGCAGACCACCTGAATGAAGCTCATGGACCACTGGTGGCCAAGGGACCACACTTTGGAAACCCTGTACTAGAGATCATGAGATCTAGGGCTTGGTTTCCACCATGGCATGTTGCTGAGGGCATTCATGACCAAGGGAAGATTTCACTGGCAACTTCTAGGAACGTAAGAATGGATTAGAGCAGGACCCATCTAGTCCATCATCCTGGTTCTCGAAGAAGAAGAAGAAGAAGAAGAAGAAGAAGAAGAAGAAGAGGAGGAGGAGGAGTAGTAGGAGTAGGAGTAGGAGTAGGAGTTTGGGTTTGATATCCTGCTTTATCACTACCCGAAGGAGTCTCAAAGCGGCTAACATTCTCCTTTCTCTTCCTCCCCCACAACAAACACTTTGTGAGGTGAGTGGGGCTGAGAGACTTCAGAGAAGTGTGTCTAGCCCAAGGTCACCCAGCAGCTGCATGTGGAGGAGCGGGGAAGTGAACCTGGTTCACCAGATTACGAGTCCACCACTCTTAACCACTGCAGCACACTGGCTCTCTGTGTACAATGGCACTCTCTCCAACATAGCTGTCAAGTGTCTCTTATTTGAAGGGACAGTCCCTTATTCCAGCGCCATGTCCCGCTGCTGTCCCTTATTGATAGATGTCCCTTAAATGTCCCTTAAATGATGTCCCTTAAATTTCAAAGGAAGCAGCTCCTCTCCCTCCCTCCCTGCCGGCCAGGGAGGAGGGAGGCTCCAACTGTGTTGCTTGGCTGTGTTGCTCACCCAATAAGAAGTCTAAGAAAGACTGGAAGGGTGGAGCTTGCATGCCTTGTGTGTGGCTAGTTAATGCAAGCTGAGGAGGTTTTTGAATGCTGGACACCATTTTGTTGCACGTGCTGCTGCAAACTTTGCAGTGCAAAGCCAGACCGGGGAGCCATCTTAAGTTGAGGCTGCATAGGCCTTGTGGTGCATGTGATTCAGATTCTATTCAGTTGAACCTCTGGTTACAAAGTTGGTTGGACAGTGTTCTGGAAGCTACCAGCATGAGTTTGACCAGACTGCAGGAGGACAGGAAGACTGGAGTGCCTGGAACAGGTGAGGCTGCAGGTCCCTTATTTTGGCTGCTGGTCCCTTATTTTCAAGGCTGCTGGTCCCTTATTTTCAAATCTGTAAGTTGACAGCTATGCTCTCCAACTGCAATTCCTTGCCACAGATACTCTGAGACGTGCTGCCTCCCTACAGCAGAAGCAGAACATAGCCATTGTGGATAGGGGCCACTGACAGCCTGACCCACCATGAATTTGCCTTCTCCTCTTTCATTGCCATCAGTGCTGGTAGTCATCACTACCTCTTGTTCCTCAGTGAACCTCCAACATTCAGCTTCGGTCTACAATTTTGTGACACATATACTTAGTCTCACCAAATGTTTTCATATGTAGTAGCAGCAATTCCTTTGGGGAAAGCTGTCGTTATTGTGGAATATTTGGTTTGGAAGCAGCTTCTACCTTTAACCCATTCCCCACCCCTTTTAAAAAATGAATATTATAGGGAAAAGTCACTTTACAGTGATTTTCCACCTAAGATATGAGCCTGTGAGCCAGCCCTGAACACTTCCGCATCTCAATGGGGTTATAAATGGTGGCCGCTAAAGCCCATTGGTTCATCTCTTGGCTGTTTCCCAGCATGCCTAGGTGAGGTCTGCGGAGGCTGCAGTTCATTGGCTGCCCACTAGAGGTCTCTGGTTGCTCTCTGAACTCTGAGTCAGGACTATGGCTCGGGGCACCAAGGAAGAGCAAGATGGAATCCTAGATATATAAATTATAGAGCTGGGCACCATCACCAATATATTGTCTTCAGCCACAGTCAAATATAGCCAGTTCTTCACAATGCTGGATATTGGTTCTCTAGGTATCCTTTAAAAAAATTGCATCCATGGTGATTTCCCTTCCTTAATTTGGGAACTTAGCTGCTTGGACTATGTTGATTTGGTTAATTGGTTCAATCTGGTTATTTGGCTTCTGTAAAAACAACAACAACAACAACTTATTTCTTGCACCCTGCCCATCTGACTGGGTTGTCCCAGCCACTCTGGGCAGCTTCCAACATAATATAAAAGAATACAATGGAACATCAAACATTAAAAACTTCCAGTTACAGGGCAGAGGGACCCTAGAAGCAATTTTACTCCAATTTTTGGGTCTATTAGGTCCAAACTGAGTCACACAACTTGCTGTTTAATCAACCACCACTTCCCCCCTTGCTACTAGGGAGGGTCTCTGCCATCAGGCCCACACAATTTCTTTCCTGGGGGGCTCCTGCAGGCATTTGGGTGTGGGGGAAGTTCCGTAGCACCAAGAGACCCCCTTTGGCTTCTGCACATTGTTTCCAAAACAAGCCTTGACTTTAATATTCTGTTTATTAACTTGTGATTAAATGTGGGGATTTTGTTCTGATCCGGGGCTTAGAATGTAAGGCAGGGCTCAAGCCGGGAGCCTGCTCTGAATGCCTCTGCTTGGGCCCTGAATATGTGAAGGATTCATTAAGCAGGAGAAGAAAACCCTCCCTCTGGCTGCATGGACAGCGCAGACACCACATGCCCCCTCCTGCCCGCAATATTTGGAATTGGGAGAGATGCTTCTGGGCGTGGGTGATCTTCAAGCAAGGTTGCTTCCAGACTGACCTGCTGTGGAACAGCCTTGTTGTTGTTTAGTCGTTTAGTCGTGTCCGACTCTTCGTGACCCCATGGACCAGAGCACGCCAGGCACTCCTGTCTTCCACTGCCTCCCGCAGTTTGGCCAAACTCATGCTGGTAGCTTCGAGAACACTGTCCACCCATCTCGTCCTCTGTCGTCCCCTTCTCCTTGTGCCCTCCATCTTTCCCAACATCAGGGTCTTTTCCAGGGAGTCTTCTCTTCTCATGAGGTGGCCAAAGTCTTGGAGCCTCAGCTTCAGGATCTGTCCTTCCAGTGAGCACTCAGGGCTGATTTCTTTCAGAATGGATAGGTTTGATCTTCTTGAAGTCCATGGGACTCTCAAGAGTCTCCTCCAGCACCAGAATTCAAAAGCGTCAATTCTTCGGCGATCAGCCTTCTTTATGGTCCAGCTCTCACTTCCATACATCAATACTGGGAAAACCATAGCTTTAACTATACGGACCTTTTTTGGCAAGGTGATGTCTCTGCTTTTTAAGATGCTGTCTTAGGAACCCCCATTCCAGTCCTAATCCTGCTCGTCAGGTCTCCATGGGTTTGGATGACCACCTTGTAGATCAGCCCTGCAGGAGGAGGGTCCTTGCTGCTTGCTAGAGCACCAGGATTGCACACAAATAATCCCACTTCCAGTTCCTTGCATTGCACCTGAAGTTGGGAAAGACCCCCCCAGTCAAGCTTGCAAAAATCTATCATTTGCCCGATAATAAATGTTGGAAATGTAAAGAAACTGAAGGCACATTTTTTCACCTTTGGTGGACGTGCCCAAGAATTAAGGCTTTCTGGGAAATGATATATAATGAATTAAAAAAGGTATTTAAATAGACCTTCCTGAAGAAACCAGAGGCCTTTCTCCTGGGCATAGTCGGCCAAACGGTGTTAAAAAAGGATAGAACTTTCTTTATGTACGCAACAACAGCAGCAAGAATACTCATCGCAAAGTATTGGAAGACACAAGATCTACCCACGCTGGAGGAATGGCAGATGAAACTGATGGACTATATGGAACTGGCAGAAATGACTGGCAGAATCCGAGACCAGGGAGAAGAGTCGGTGGAGGAAGATTGGAAGAAATTCAAAGATTATTTGCAGAAACATTGCAAAATTAAAGAATGTTAGAGTGATGTTGGACTGAAAATAAGTGG